CCCACCTGCTCACCAGCCAGCCCTGGGACCCCAGTTCTGCTCCTCCTGCTTCTTCATCCCCAGCCGGGGCCTGGGGCACAGGCTATGTGGCAGCACTTCCCTTCTCCCCTCCTCGCCCTCTCAAGAGCAGGGCCTGGGCAAGGCCAGGAACCATATGGAAGCCTTGGTGAGCTAGCCATGAGGCTGAAGCAGGGAGATGGGTGAGGCTGAGGGTGGGAGAGAATGGTGTCTTGCCCATTCTGGGCTGGGAGTGAATCCCACTTTCACCAGGGAAGGCAGCCTCGTCCTCTGACCTGTACAGTGAGCTGCTCAGCAGGCTTAGTTCTCCCCGCCCTATAGGTCCCAGTGGTTGAGGACCATTGTAGGTGTCCGAAGTATGCCCAGTCTAGACCATTCCCTCCTGGTGACTTCACACCCCTCTAATGTGGGCAGGTTCTGGGCAGTACGCTGTGAGCTCAGACCCCCACTCCTGCATTATCCTCCAACCCCAGCTGGCTCATGGCCTTGTGCAATCCCTCCCTCTCTGGCCCCAGGGCCATCCTTTTTAAAGAGAAGTGATTTCTATGTTTTTTTTCTAACTTGGAGATGTATTTCCCAGCCATGAAGATAAGAAGCTCAAGGACGAACCTAGAGATCCTAGCAAGGAGCTTTCTGAAACCTCCCTGCTTCCCCGAGGTTGAGGCCTGGCCCACCAGCCTCTTGACTACAGAGTAAGTGGTATTCACCTGCTAATCAGAAAAATTGAAAGCTTCCCCCAGCCCCCCACCCCACCAAAATCTGGAGACAGAAGCTGCTGCTCTTACACTAACTGTGCCAATGCCCATGTTTACATAAGTCTGGGGAAGGAAGGAGCCTGCCTGTGTCCCTGGGAAGAAGACTGTCAGTGGAGCGGGACGTTGCCCTCCAAACTGCATTTATTTATTTATTTATTTATTTACAAAAGGAACAGGCCAAAGTTTAGGCTCTGTTTCTAGGTGCTGTTATTAAAACCCCCAGATGATTGTCATGGAAAATTTGGATATTTGAGGAAAATAACTGGAATCATGAATGACAGTGTGGTAAGCTACATGTGTCAGTGGAGACAGAGCTCGTACTCCCCTGACCCTCTGTGGCTGTAATTGATGTCATAATACTTCACGATGATCCATATGAACTTGAACTCTACCACTTGGCCCAGTAGTCAAAGGGACACAAAGTCTGTGTAGGTAACATGACTCTGGGAGAGGCAATTTCATCATAGTTACCCAAATAAAAAGAAATGAGACTCAGCAGACCAACCAACAGGGTAGCCTTGGGTACATCACTCAGCCTTTCTAGACCTGCTGATTGCCCAGCTAAAGCAAAGTTGGACGGAATTTCTGCTGTCCTCTCCAGTACACATTCCACGATTCTCCTGTTTCCAGTGATCAGCCAGTTTAAGGACTGTCTCTGGATTGACACTTCTCTTTAGTGCAGACAAAAGGAGTCTTTTGTCTGTCAGGGGCCACTGAACTGTCATCTCCACAAATGGGCCTTTTTTTCAAGGAGATATCCAACTCAGTTTGCTTTTTAATTGAGAATAGAGATTATGTGCCTTTGTTTCATTTGACCGGTGCAAAAGGGGCAGGCCAGGAAGGTGGGCTGTAGATGTCTCAGAATAGAATCACTTTCTTTGAAATTCTGATTAACTTTCTGCTTTAAGAAGTGATTTGACTGATTTTATTTTAAATATTTCGGGAATGACTTGGGTTTTAGAGTAGACTTTGAAGCTCTGCTGACACTTTTCATTTCGCCATTAGAAGGTTGAGAGACTTTACTTCTCTGTTCTATGAACTCCACCTTGTCCTCTAGTACTTAAAAGTTACCTTTGGAGCCAGCATTGTTGAGGGGGGCACCCTTTTCTACTAATTAAGATCTGCCTTTGGTCTAATGAGTATCACTATGTAGTAAGGTTTTTAAAGTCCCCACTGTGGGGAGGTGAACTTGACTAGAGTTTAACTATATGTACTTTAGCAACTTTCAAAGACCACTCTCAGAACTGACAGGTCCCAGTGGCACACCAGAAGACACCACTGAGGAGCACTGAAGGTCCCTGGTACTTGCACAGAGTGTATAGACATTCTTTTGGCCTGTGGCTGTGCCTCACGTGTGGAGCTGCTGGCCTGCCCTGGCTGGGTGGCAAACAGTACTCATCTGCTCCAGTTCCTACCAGGACCAGATTGGGCAAAGTGGGGGAGAGGCCTTTCTTAGGAACAGCTAACTGCCTGGCCTTGTGGTGCTCTTACCTAGTTGTTCCTGAATGTGACTTTGGTTCTGGAGCCCAGATAACTGCTTTAGGGAACCAGTCATTACCTGGAGCTGTTCATCTCAAAGTGAGGTTCCTGACTAGTCTGGGTGACGCTGTGTTCCCCCTACTGCCCTGACTCTACCTGAGCTTGGGAATAGGGAGTGAATGGTTGGGCAGCTCTCATATTCTAATGAAGACAATACAGTGCCCACTTCACATGGGAAGGAAGTTTCTGCACCTACTTGCTGGTTGAACCTGTGCCTGGATCACTTACCCTGGCTCTAGGGGCTTCTGTTCTTAAGAGTTATTTAAATGAAACCATGGCTTCTGACCTGCTGCTATCCCTCTGAAGAGAGGCCAGCCTGGCCCAGAGCTTGGACATGTGGATGGTCTAGGCAAGAGGGATCCTGAGGCTGCTGGGACCATCACCTTGGACTGGCCGCCTATTCTAAGAAGCCTCCTCTGGCACTTCTTGGCGCCCAGAACTGCCCGTTGCAAGCTTGCACTGACACATTGGTATCCAGCTGTAAAGACTGGGGAGGAGGTGAAGTTGGTCCATCCTGGCCTCCCGATCCTCCACAGAGAAATGCTAATGAAAAATCTCACAACTCTAGCCTGTCTGTCTGAGTGAAACCCCAGGTTCTCCAAAATAATGTTTCCACTTGCCTTTGGGAAAGAAACATTTTTTTCTTATGCTAGTTTAGTATCAACTGCCAGCATCTCGAACCAGCTGCTAAAACTCGCCTGTGGTGTCCATCGTCGTCCTCATCCTGCCCCAGACCTCAGACCTGGGCAGTCTGAGCAGTCTGCCTCTCATCTTTGCTATGTGCTCCCACATCCTCTAAGTCCTTTCTAGTAACTGAGAAGGGGCACCTCCAAGTTTTCCTGCTGCCTCCAGGAGGTGGGCCTATTAAGGGACAAGGGGAAGATTGCCATCAAAGATGTGAAGTAAAGGAGCCTTGCTGTCCCAGCCCATGCCCTGTGAACACGGACCCACGAACTGCATAAAACGGAGTGTTGGTGGCTGTTTAAGGTATACAATAAACGCAAAAAATTTGGATATGGTTTCACGTAAATTCTGATTTTGAGGAACGTGTGCTTGGTGCTTATAGTTCCAGTGAGGGGCAGCTATGGAGGGTGGTCCCAGAACACTTCCTGTGACACAACGTGTCAAACAGCAAGTTCCAGTTCCCTGGCTCTTCAGTCCACATGGGGGTGGGGGGGTTAAGGAACATCAGCTTTGGCCTAATTCAGTACTTTTGGGGAGGAACCCAAACCCTTTCTTGGGAGGAGTTCTAGCTGTCGGGGCCAGAGCTAGGCGTGGAAATGGGAGCGAGAACATCTTTTGAGTGCCTCCATGCCAGAGGTCAGAATGCAGGCGGCGCCATTCCACAAGCATTCCCCCAGTACCTGCCTTGGGCTGGGCTCTGGGATTCCCAGACAAGGTACATGCACTCAAGCCCAGTCTGGTAGAGAATGTCAGCCAGACTAAAAGGTAGTTATGACTGTGATAGGCACTGCTACAGGAAGTCTGGGGCATGGGAACTCCAGCCTGGGGGCAGAGGAAAGTGGTATGGAAGACTTCCTAAAGTTGGCACCTGAACTGGGTGAAGAAACAAGGTTAAGGGCCCAGCCTAGTTAAAGGCCTGAATTTGGAATGCTGTGAAGGGCAGAAGTTAGGAGACCAAATCACAAAGGCCCCCAGGAGCTCTGCTGCAGACTCAAATCATAAAGGCTGTGCTTGAGGTGTTCACAATGGCCAGTCACTGCTGGAGTCTAGCAGGCCGGATCTGATGGGAGGTGGTTTCTGTCTAGTTTCCAGCCTGCCTTAATGGTGTGGGACAGGTGGGCTGCCTTTAGGGTCCAAAGAGAAGGTCAGCAAGAGAAAGCCTAGGCTTAGTCATCGTGCAGACTTGACTTCAAACCCCACGTTAATGCCTCTCAAGCCTGTTTCTTTACCTGCAAGACGAGGATCCCACACAACCTAACAGGGTTTTATGTGAAATGTTCTATGTAAAAACATAAGCACTTCTTTTCAAGAGCAGTGAGGAGAGACAAATTTTACGTGCTTTAAGGAGAAAGATTAAGAACAGGTTTTCTGTATTATTAATAGCTGAGGATAACGTATCAAGACAAGAAAATGCCCAGCACCCACCCCACACTTTGTCTGTGATCCTGCTACATACCAGCCGTGCCACCGAATTAGGCAGGCCTGGCCCCAGGGAATGGCCATGCAGTGTGTAGCCCAGTGCTTGGCACACAGCACAGTGGTATTCAGCAGTCCCCAGACGGTCTCAGAAAGCAAGTTTGGGGGCCTCAGACTCCCTTCAGGAAAGACAAGTAGCAAAGGCAAGGTCACTTGAAGACAGACCAGGAAGCAGCTATACAGCTCCTTACCCTCTGGCCCTTGAGCCACAGCTGGCCTCAGACCAGGGCCATGGAGAACCGTTCCACCAGCCCCCAGCCTGGGGTGAGGCAAGCACTGGAAGCCCCTCCCAAGCAGCCCAGGGTTCCCAGCAGGCTTCTGTAGAAGCGTTAGTGGAACTGCTATGCAGGAGACCAAGGCAGAGAGCAGTGGAACCAGAACAGGGGAGAAGAGGAGGGAGGCTGTGCCTAGAAAGGCATGTGAATATGGAGCAAAAAGGGCTGAATGGCCTCTTTACCTTGGCTGAGTAGGTTTTTGCAGAGGCAGCCCCAGGGCTTGGCTGGGAGGGGCAAATACAAAACCATCAGAGAAGTAAAATACTGTATTTTATTGTACACAGACTATATTCAAACAAACCACCCACTCTGAAAACAGCAGGTTCTGGCTTTTCCCAGAGACTCCAGAAGAACATAAATTGAAGCCTCTGGGAGACAGTGTCTTCCCCAAAGGGAAGTGTGAGAGAGATTTTGTGTGTGTGTGTGTGTGTGTGTGTGTGTGTGTATGTGTGCGCTGTAACCTTTTGATTCCATGGGGTTTGGCTAGACTCATCTGTAGCCGCACACCTCTCCTTGCCTTAAACCCTGGCTCAGCTTCTCTGGTCCAGGAGGAAGCCTCAACCTGGGGCAGGTGTAAACCAGTCACTCAACCTCCATCTTATTCTTTTGCAACGAATCGACAAAGGCTTGCCACTCCGCTGGGTAAAAACGCTTATAGACGTTGATCTTATTCCGAATCTGTTTCGGGGTATCTTGATAGTAATTCTTCTCATCCCGGGCCATAGCCTAAGAAGGGAGAAGGGCCACTTGAAGAAGGCTGGACAGGCAAGGTTCAAATCCTAGCCCTGAGTTGGGCAAGCTACTTCCCATCCCTGAGGTTCAGATTCCTCACCTTAAAAGCCAGAGTGTATGTGGGGAAATGCCCTCAGGGACTAGGCAGGAACTGGGACCAACTGAGTAGCTCATTCTCCATCCATCGCCAACTGATCCCACCTGGGCACGGGGGTCCAATGTACCCAGATCTTTCAATTTTTAGGAGAAGCCAAAAATAAGAACTTTTATTTGAAACCTCCGATAATTAAAATGGCAACTACAGTTAACCCTTGAACAACACAGATGTGAACTGCATGGGTTGACTTATACACGGATATTTTTCAGTAGTAAATACTACAGCACTACATGGTCCATGGTTGGTTGAATCCCTAGATGCGAGGAACCGCAGACCTGGAGGACCAACTGTAAATATAGACAGATTAACTCTCAAGTTGTTCAAGGGTCACCTGTAGTTCAAGTTGATTAATAAAAATACCATGCAAGCAAAACATATTAATGAGTGTGATATGAACCACAGGCCACTCAGTCTATCCAATTATAAGCATTCTGTCAATGGCATCCATTTCTTAGGTTCTCTCTTTCCTCTCTGTTTCCATTCAGTCTCAGGAAACAGGCAATAGCCAAGCATATCAGACCCTGAATGGTCCAGGGTACCTTCCCAAAGGGCCCCAAGTGGTTCCTCCTGCCAGGCCTAAGCCCACTCACCTTATAGTCCTCCCCATGGTTCTCCACCATGTAGCAAACATAGTCAATGAGATCCCGAGATAGCGTATTTCCTTTCTTTTCTGGAAGGCTGGCTTCTGCCTCCAGGTCTGGGTTGAGAGAAGCCGAGAGACAGGGAATGAGGCTTTGCTTCCTGCACAAGTTGAGCTGCTCAGTCAATCCCAAGCCACAAGAGTTGCTACACCAACCATCAGATGAGCTTTTCCATCTGCAAATTCAGTGCTAGAAACTTCTTTTTAGCCCCTCAGGTCCCAGGCTCTGTCTATGGCACAAGCATCTATCAGTATAGCAATGAACTGAAAGGCAAGTCACCGCTCTTTGGGCCTCAGATGGGTGAAAGAAAGGCACCAAACTAAAAATCTCTACTTAATGCCAGGTCCTGGGAACAGAGATGAAGATGCAGTGCCTGTCCACAGGACAGGGCTCCCTTCCAGCTCTAAAACTCTCTGAGAACCTCTTGAAGAGTTAATAACAATACGTGAAATGGAAAGGTGTGAATAAATGAGAACTCGAGCTGTAAGAACTAGGGCCTGAGGCACCTCTCTACTCCTTTGTGTATCTACTACTTTGTGAGGGGAAAAGCCAAGCTCCAATAATGGCCTCACACCTAAAATAGCTAGGTAAATACTCCCCCATTCCTCATCTATGAAGGGAGAAAAATAGCTACCTCATGGAAATGAGGTAGTCAAATCTTATCCGGGGTCAGGTGCTAAAATTGCTTATAGTCAAAATTATCTTTAACTTGGTTGCCATGGGTTGCGGGCAGGGGGGGGGGTGGAGAACAGGGCATTATTGTTTCATGAGTAAAGAGTTTCAGTCGTGCAAGATGAAAGTTCTGGAGTTCTGTTGCAAGACGATGTGAATATACTTAACACTAATGAGCTATACATTTTAAAATGATTAAGATGGTAAATTTTATGTGCTTTTTAACCACAATTAAATTTTGTTTTAATTAAAGAATTAAAAGTAAAACTTTTTAAGATTAGCTTTGACTACAGAGAGTACACACGAGTTTGTATATACAGTCCTGTGCAGTCAGTAACTTACAAGAATCATTAAAATAGACTACAGACAGGAACTCACAGAATTCTGTATCAAATGTCTGGTCATTCAGATACTTTAAACTTTAGGAGAACTGTTAAAAACCACAGACAGGAAAGAGGAAGGATGGGTAGAATATTCCAGAGTATTCCTGCTTCCCTGCAGAATTTACCCTCTTCTGTTTTAATATTCAGTCTCTATAGCCTTAATATACATAAAATTGGATTTATCATTGGAAAGATTACATGGTGGAATCTTTAAAAAGATCTGTTCATCCTTAATCTCATAAGAAGCTGAATGTATGCCTGAGACTTACCGTTTTCTCTTCTATCCTCTCAGGCACTAGTTACATCCTCCCTGAACATCTCTGACCTCCCTTCACACACTGGAGCTTAGCCAGTAGACTGAAAATGTCTCAGCCGGGACACAGTCCTAACTCTGCAAGCTGAGCCCTAGAACAGCTCACTTTTTCCCTCTGAACCTCAGTTTCTCTATCTGTGAAATGAGAACATCTGAGGGTCCTTTCCAGCTCTAACTGAGCAGGATGGTGACCTAGAGGAATGTGGCCCACACCCACCATTGAGCACATAGGGCTTCCGCATGAGCTCCTTAGGCCCCTCCTCCACGTCCACTTCCAGGGCCTTTACCTGCAGAGAACACAGACCATGAGATTAGGAGACACAGGAAAAGATCCTGGATGAGGGGAAATTCTAAAGGCTCCTGCCCGTCCCAACACAACTGCATTACCCACAAGGATCCCTCCACAAAGGCAAGAATAGATGACAAAAAGAACTAATGCCCTCCCTGGAAGCTTCGTGGTTCCCAAGAGGCTCAAGTAAGCAATTCATCTTTCTGTGCCTAACTATAAAATGGGCATAATACCGCTTGCCTGCCTCACTTAACTGTGCGGTTAGCAAATGAAACAATGCACGTGAAAGCACTTTATACTTTACAGTGAGGGAGAGATGTCAGACATCTTCTCTTATGCAGAAGAGCAAGCTGACGGTGCTTGGCTATAGCTTCATAATTGTTCAAGAAACAGCAGCACCAGTTTCTTCTGGCATGAAGGGATAAAAAGAAACATGTCTGAAGGCAATGGGACAAATCCAATCAGCAAGCCCGTTCATTAGGCTGACTATTTATTGAGGACTAGTCACATCCTAAGCAGCACAGGATTTAGTAGTGAATGGAACACAGATTCTTGTCCCCAGGAGATTATGTTGGCGGAAAGAGGCACAGACAATAAGCAAATATACAAATATACCATCAAGTATTTACAACTGCCAATGAATTAAAATAAAGCAGGAAAGAAGTTACTGAGTGAAAAGGGCTGCTATTTTTGAAAGCGGGTCCAGAAAAAGAATTATTCCGGAGAAATTAGCCCTGGGAAAAACTACCCCTTGGGAAGCCTCAGACCAAGGACGACTGGATAACTGAGGAAAGGTGTAAGGAACAGTAAGTAAAGATTCCAAACTCCTTATTAGAAAAGTTAAGGGCAGAAAAAGATAAACTCTGAAAAATATGGCTGAGATGCCAAGGGACCCAAACAGTTTAATTTCAGAGGAAAAAAAGTAAGTGCAGAAGGAAAGGGGAAGTTCCAACCCAGGTCCAATGTGTGCTGGGGGAGGGAATATGAAGGGACCCTCAACCCCAGTCAGTACAGCCTGGCCGAGTTGGCTGTGGGGAAGTCGCAAACCCAGGAAGGGCGTGAGGGAGGTAATAATAAACAGGATTAAGTTCTGAAACCCAGCTAAGTATGGCGGGAGTGGGGGGCGGGGGGGAGCTGGAGGTGGAGGGCAAGGGCCTGGACCCTACCACGTCACTACCTTTCTCTTAAGAAGGGGCACTGCCCTGTTGGGGTCCATAGCCAAACCCATATCGGCCAGGTTCTGCCGCACCGATTTGGTCTGGTCCCAGGCATGTCGGATGTGGGAGCTACGGGAAAAGAGAGGGCGATCGCGTAACCATCATCTCGCCGGCTGTCCCGCCCGAGGCCCCCTGCCTCCTGAACCTTGGTCCCCTCACCATTCGATCCGCGGCGCTGCCTTCCGTCGAGCATTCCGGTTCAGACGCTTCCGGTTAACATTATAACCGAACTTCTGCCTCCGGGTCTTCCCCTTGGCTTTAGGCATCGCACTGACCCCAGCACGGGTAACTCAGACTCGGTGCCTCTCACTCCAAGTACCTCGTGTAGCGACTCCTTCCGGCTAGTGATCGCGTGGTTTCGCAGGCTTTGGGGAAATGTAGTCCTCCACGCAGCAACAGCAGACTGATTACTACGACTCCCAGAGTGCCATGAGGGATTACACCTGCGTACAACACTGAGCAAAGTCCTTTTCCCCGCCCTCTTTGATGACCTCATCAGGAGGAGGGGTTTAGCGTCCGGATTTTCTTCTACTGCTGTAGCCTAAAACATGGCGACTCCTGGCCCCGTCACTCCGGAGGCACCCTTTGAGCCATCGCAGCCCCCAGTCATTGAGGGCTTTAGCCCCAGTGTATACAGCACTTCGGAAAGCTTCAAGGAAAAGTTTCTTCGCAAGACCCGCGAGAACCCAATGGTACCCATAGGTAAGCAAGCGGGCGCTCAAGGTACTGTAGACCAAGAAGACAGTGATGTAGAGGGGAATGAAATCGGGGAGGACCGGGGACGCCAGGGGGGACTGGAATGAGAGTGGACCAGAGATGTAGCGAAGGGGCCGGGCGGTGAGGGGCCGGGCGGTGATTGGAGCAGGAGCTGGACGGGATTGGGGCGCTGAGATGGGGCCGATTCTGACACGGAGGACCACCGCTTTGGCCAGCCCCTCCCACCTCAGCTCCACCCCATACACCCCTCTCCTCGGCTGCTGTTTAGAGATTTTGAACCTGGGGGCAGGAGCCCAAAGCGGGGAGGGTGCTTCCCACCTGCTTTGTCGCCTCTTCAGGCTGCCTGGGCACAGCGGCCGCCCTTACCTACGGCCTCTACTGCTTCCACCGGGGTCAGAGCCAGCGCTCCCAGCTCATGATGCGCACCCGAATCGCCGCCCAGGGCTTCACGGTCGTAGCCATCTTGATGGGTCTGGCTGCATCCACTATGAAATCTCGACCCTGAGTCGGTGGCCTGCCCTTGAAAGCTCCGCGGAGATCGTTCCCAGCTCCAGGAGCAACCACCGGTCCTGCCACTGGCATTATTCCCTCATCTCCCCTGACAAGCCCCTGTATCAGTGGGGGCAGAAGTGGCCAATTGTGTAACCGACAGATTTTTTTCAGGAATCTCAGGTTCGGTTCAGTTTGAGTGTTGCATACTTCTAGTTGTGCTGCACCTTCACCACTCCCTACTTAATAAACTCTGATCCACTTGTAGTTTGGTGAATTCATTCCCAGTCTCACCCCCATGCCTTTTGGTCTTTGGTTTTAGGAGAAAACAGACTAAAGACTGCAGGGGCTCTTAGAATTCCAATAGTCTACTGATTCTCAAACTTTCCTGGTAACAATCACCCTGGGGTACTTATTAAAAGTAGAGAGTCTCTACAGTGATGTTATATGGAAAAAAAACCAAAAAACTGAGCTTTCCAACAGTTTTTAAACTTTCAGTAGAAAACCTTCCTTCATATGAGGCCTGCCATGGTTCTGTCAGAGGCAGGGGGCTCTGCCTTCCACTTCTGCTCCTGACCCCAATCCCACCTCCTGAGAGCACCTAAGGCTCCACTGATCTAGATCATCTCAGCTTGGTTCTTGATGCATTTTATGGACCAGGAAACTGAGGCTTAGAGAAGCAGCATGGTGTAACAGAAAGAGCATAAAGCATAATCCCCAAAGCTTGCCAGTGGTTTGTGGCAGCACCTAGTGTTTTATGGCTAAGGAAGAAAGGAGGCTGGGGACCTGAGCAACCTCTAGAAGAGAGGCAACTCATGAGTTTCTCATTCATGTAAAGTCTCAAACAGGTGTTCCTGGTCTGCAGTCATCCCTAAAGTGTTGATTCGGATTCAGGTTCCTTCCATCTGTGACTCCATCAGTTTCAACACCAGCTGAATGACTTAGGCCAGCTAAGTTTCTTGCCCCCACCATGCTCTTTCAGCTGTAAGACAGAGATTATAAATGTAAAGCAGTACTTGTGGTGACCCTTGGCCTCCACAAGAAACAGATATGAAGTGGTGAGGACTACGGCACTTCTAGAGAGGATGGCCACTATTTTTAACTGTTGGTGTTGTGGGCTCCCCCCGCTCCAAAAAAGAAAAGATTAGTTGAAGTCCTAACCCCAGTACCTCAGAATGTGACCTTATTTGGGAATAGGGTCTTTTCAGAGGTAATCAAGTTAAAATGAGGTCAGTAGGGTGGGCCCTAATCCAATATGACTGGTGTCCTTATACAAAGGGGAAATTTGGACACAGCAACAGACACATATAGAGAGCAGGCGATGTGAAGATGAACTCAGGATTGTAGTAATGCTTGTACAAGGCAAGGAACACCAAGGAACACAGATACTTCCCTAGTGCCTTTAGAGGGATCATGGCCCTGCTGACACCATGATTTCAGATTTATGACTTCCAGAACAGTGAGACAATAAATTTCTGTTGTTCTAAACCAGACGCTGTGGTATTTTGTTATGGCAGCTCTAGGAAACTAATACGGTTGGCAATTAAATATTTTTAAACATTGTTCAGATCACAATGGCTTGAACATAACCTGTTTGCAACTCTCTTGAAGGGGAAGGTGTTGTCACTGATTGTTTCTCCCAAATCCACAGAAGAGCACAGCTGAAAGAGGCAGAGGGTCCTGACCAATCCCAAGGAAGGGTTGTGGCAGAGGCTACCTTCACCAGCCCCTCACCCAGGCAAAGAGGAAGCACCCACCGGGAACCTCTGGTCTTGCCTCTTCCCTCCAAGCTGCTTCCCCTCTGGGTGTCTGTGGCTATATGACAGACCAACAGAATCCCTATGTCATGGGTTTGTTCAAGGATCAGAAAGGATCAAGCTTGCAAAAACATTCTGTGAGAGGTTGTCTTTCCTCCTGGGGCTGGAGGCAGCAGACATAGACAGATTGGGATGCCCTCTGCCAGCTGGGAGCCCCTGGGATGCCCTCTGCCAGCTGGGAGCCCCTGGGTTACCAGGGAAATAGCCCTACCTTCTCTCAAGCCCATGAAGCTGGGAAAGTTCTAAGCACAAACAGCCCTGACACCAGTTTGTGGCTTCCAGAGAAATGAGAATGAAATAAGTGTAAAAAGAGTTAACAACACACCCTTTAAGCCAAGAAAAAAAAATACATCAGGAGGGACAGTCACAATTTTGTGGACTGAGAGGAGATGTGAGGGGCTGGGCCGTAGGGCCGTGAGGGAATGACAGTTGAGAGGGGTGAGGGTTCCCCTTCCCGGCCCCGGGAGATGGCGAGGAACGGAATAGGCTGTGTAGCAGCTGCTGGAGGCATTTCCCCCCTGGCCAAAGCAGCTGCTCCTCCTCTGCCCGGCCCGGCCCCTGTATGGCGGCCATGTTGGCGGCAGGCTCCTAGCGGGACAGCGGCGTCTGCTTCAGGGACATGAGCACCGAGCGCAGGCGGGACACGTCTTTGCACTGCTTGCTGCTCTTGGGGTTGAAGTCACACAGCTGGGCCACCTTCTCCCACTCTGTGCCTGGGGTCTCCTCCTTGGATTCCTTCACAAAAGCCTCCTCAGATGCCCTGCAGGTGGAGATAGGACAGAGGTTTCATAGCTGTCTGCCTTTCCCCTTAATCAGTGATGCTCTGCTCCCACTGAGCAAGGCTGCTTTGTCCAGCCTACTCTGGGGTCCTTTGTCTAGACGTCTCCTCCCCAGCCCCGGGCCCTCTGACCTCAGGCCCCCAGGAACAGCCTTGCCATCAGAGGAAGCCTAGTTTGGTCCTACCTCAGGGCCTTTGTACTTTCGGTCACCTCTTCCCCCAGACCTGTTCATGGCTTGTTGCTTCTGGTAATTCAGGTCTGAGTGCAGGCCTTACCTCCTCAGAAAGGTCTTCCCTTGCCACTGTAGCTCAAGTAGCCTCCTACCCCTGCCCCAGCACTGTCTGTTCATTACCTCTCTATCAAGAGTTCCCAAACTGGGGCTCCTGACACCTAAAGGCCCTTGGAGGAACTAATGCAGTATCTCAGCTATTTTCAACATTTCCAAAAACTGAGCAGGACATTAACTAACCACCTAGGTGAAGTCTCTTGTTCAGCATTGCCTCGGGGTTCTGTGGACCCTATAAGTGTTCTTTAGAAAAGAGCTGTGCTTAAAAATGTATAGAAGAATCAGTTGAAGAAGATCTTCAAAACAAGACTTGCAAAGCCTTTAATGTGCTTATGTGCACCACAAATGTGAGTACACGATGGATATAGAATCTGCCATATCCCAAGCATACTTGACTACAGAACTCTTTTTAGCCCCAAATGACTATTATCTCTTTGGTGCCACAGCCTGAGGAATGCTCCACTGGAGTCTTTGCCTTTGATTGGAATCAAATTAGGATGGAAACTGGTGGGTTTTTCATCAGAAGTTCTGGCTGACAGTTACAGAAGCCACTGATTAAAGAACAATGGGGAAACAAAGTATAATAAATGTAGCTTAGTGGACAAAACCTAAACATGGGAATCATTAAGAGAAAAGCAATGAGGGATTCTGGGGTGGGGAGGGCTGGGTCTCTGTCCTGTTTAGCTAACAAGTGTCCCTAAAGCCCCTTTCTCCTTAGAAGCCCCCTGCATCTCAAGCAGGACCAGTTCTGCCACATGCCAGGCACTGACTGATGGCAGGGAGCTCTCCACATGATCCCCACGGCTCAGGATGAGCCGGCCCCAGATCAGGTGACCTGGCCCCTTGCTAGTGATCTTGCTTCCCTGGTGTGTGCTTATTTCCTAACCTGGGAAGGGAGGATCAGTGCCTCCACCTTGCTGATCTGTCTCACTGGCCTGAGAATCAAACAACGTAGCAGGTGTGTGTAGGCTTGAGAAAATGTAAGGTGCTGTGTGGCATTGGCTGACCAGTGGGGCTGAGGGGAGCGATCCTAGGAGCTCTCTCTTCTGGGTCAAGAGGCTTGCCTCTAACCTTGTTGCTCAAAGTGGGGTTCATGGTCCAGCAGCACCGGCATCACCATGGAGCTTGTTGCAAATGCAGAATCATGGCCTCACCTCAGTCCTTCTGAATCAGAATCTCCATTTTGACAAGAGGCCCTGGTGATTCATAGGCACATGGAAGTCTGAGAAGCGCTGGTCTAGACTATTCCTCTCTTCAGGACTCCCTTGGGTGCTCCTTGGACCACTTCTTCGGGTGCAACAGGAGCACTGAACGCCCTGTGGTATTACTCAGCGCCGATGCCCTTCTTCCATCCCCACTCTCCTGCTTGAAACCTCCCACGGCTCCCCGCTGCCTTCAGGATCAAGTCTGAGCTTTTTAACATCTCACGACAGGCTTTTTGCAACTGGCTCCAAACTGACCTTCTCTCCCCATTCCCACCGCTCCAGGCGCTGCAGGCCGCTAGATATTTCCCATCTCATCGCCTTTGCCCCAGCAGCTTTTCCCACCTAGGATGCCATTCCCTTCTCACCCTCCCCACCCAGCACACTCCTTCTCACACTTTAAGGGCCGGCGGACTCTGACCTCTGAAGCCTGCCCGGGCTCTCCCTGAGCCCACTGTGTCCTTGCATGTGGCTCTTATCACAACACGCTCTTGATCATGAGCAACTTGGGGGGACAGACCGTGTGTGTCTTACTCCTGTCTGACCAGAGACTGGCACTGGACAGATGGGAGAGTGGACGGAAGGAAGGAGTGGAAAGCTGTTATTCTGGTGTGTCCCATGATCTGTGAGAGAAGCGTTAGCCCAGACAGTGTCAGAGGCCTGCCAAGGGCGTATCCAGAGCGAGAAACAGCAAATATTTGGCACATACACACGTGGCAATCATCACACATTCATCACTGCATTATTTTCTTCGGCTTCACAATCCCCAGCACACTGTCCAGGCTGTCACTACCAGCCAGCGGGGCGGCATAAGAGGAAATCTCTGCCATCTCTGGTCTGGATCAGGCACAGGACCAACTAGACCTCAAAGCAGAAACATGTGAAAGGGAACCGCTGGTGGTCTGGACAGGGGCTCATGACCAAATTCAGGCTGAAGTTCTAAGGAGGAGCAGTGCACTTGTGGGCAGGAGCGGGGAATGGCTGTGCATTCTTTATACCTCTAGCACCAGCACTCAATGTTTGTTTGTTCAACAGAAGACTCACCCCACCTCCCCCCTCCAAGAGGCATCTCAGAAGGAGGGAGTTGGGCTGCTTTGCCCTTTGCTTCTCTCACCTGGGGATGGCCGGACATTCCTTTCTTTTCTTTGCCTGGATTTTAGCAAAGCTGTCTCAAAGATGCTCAATAAACATTTGCTGGAGGGATGGAGGGGAGGGTTGGTGCCTGTACCCACCCCTCGGGCTCACCTCCTGCTCTGATCATTGCCCCAGGCCCAGCCATACTCATTTATACCCCACAAGGGGGAGACTCAAGAAACTGCCAGCCACACACAGGCCCTTGCAGAGGAGCAAAGGAGACACGTACACGTAGCCGATGATATCAGCATCTGGCTGCTGGTAGAATGCTTTGTCGGCGATCCTTGAGGGAAGGGGGTTAGGTGGGGGAAGACGGGATGGCAAGATGGACAGACAGGCAGAGGGTTAAAGAGAAAGAGAGACAGCGTTAGTACCTCCAGTTGGAGACGTGTTAGGAAGCATAGTTCTGGAAGGCTCAGCAACTCTCCACAGTCCTGAGAGGAGAGCAGGGATCCTCCACCCACCCGAGTGGGTGGCCTTTTCTAAAACTCAGCCCTATCATATTAGTCCCCCTGTTTACAAACCTTCAGTGGCTCCCCACCGCCTGTGTCTGCCTGCCCCTTGCCTCCGAGGCCCTGCACATGGGAGCCCTCATTCCGGCCCTGTCTCCCGCCGCTCCCTGGTGCCCAAGCACAACGTCCTTTCTTTCGTATCATGCTGTTCCCTAGTCTAGAATACCCTCCCCCACCCCCTGCCCTCTTTCTCCTGGTGAACTCCTAGCCACCTTCCAAAGCCCAGGTCCCTAGACACAGAGGTCCCTCCGCCACCCACATCCCTTGCTTCCACAGCTCTCCTGCAGAGGGCCCTACTACTGAGTTCAGCTGTACCCGTGTGTTTCCCTCCTCTGCTCTTTGAGGACACAGACTGCGTCCTTCTCAGCTCAGCCTCTGCAGTGCCCGGCCCAGGGCCTGGCATGCAGCAGCTTCCAGCTGGTGGCTTCCCAGAGCCAGCCTTTTCCTTTCTGGCAAGTCTTGTACCCTGAAGTGCACAGCCTCAGAGGCAGGGGCTGCTGGCAGTCTCTAATCTGAGACCATTTCTGCAAGGTATTCTCCGGTGGGCCTCTGCTATCTTTCCTGACCAACATCTGTCCCCCTTCTTCCAGGAAGGGCATCCTGATTGTCCTTTGAAGCATCAGCTGCCCCCACTCAGTCCCTGTGGTTTGGGTGGGACCGGACCCCATGCACAACCCAAGTAATGGGACTATCGACCAAGCTGGGTCTATGGGAGAGTCCCTCCCCCGAGACAATCACTGGGCCTGGGGTGGGCACGTGACCCACACCAGACCAATGAAGGTCAGGTGGAGGACTTCAGCTAGAGCTGTTGGGAGCAAGAGGCTTATATTCACTGAAGTTGCCAAGAAAATCGAGCAGAAGCCTGGAGCTGCTAGTGGCCACCTTTGCCCCCATCCCAGGGGTGTATGCCCAAGAGTGAAGGCCACGTAGGGGAAAGCAGACCGAGAGACAGTAAAAGTGAGCACTGACGGACTTTGTTTCAGTGCCTGAGTCCACTGGGTCTGCAGCCCTTACCCCTGGCCTTTCCAGTTATATAGGCCACTAACTTCCCTTTATTCTTTAGCCACTTCTGGGTCGAAGCATTATCATTTCTATAAGCAATAAAATCCTGCACACGGCTTGGTTCTTCCCTTCCTGCCAGGCCTGTGTTCTCTGTCATGATAACCATGGCCACAGGGGGCCCAGGTCGAGCTGTTGGCCACTGGGCTCCAGGACGGCCTGGCTTACATCCCACTGGGTCCCAGGACCTCATCTGCTTACTGGCAGACTCACTTTTGTCTGTCGTGGTGAGGAGGTCAGAGCTTAATGGCATACCAGCTCTGCAGAGCTCAGCGCGCTGAGTTCCACAGGCCACTGAGGAAACATCATTGTGGGTTCGGCTTCTCCTTCCTCCACGTTCTTGCCACCAAATCACCCATCCTCAAGACAGTCCCCCCACCATAGTTCCTCTCATTGTCCCCATAGGTCCTCTCATGTCCCCGTAGCTCCTCACGTCCCCATAGGTCCTCTCATGTCCCCATAGGTCCTCTCATGTCCCCATCAGTCCTCTCATGTCACCATAGGTCCTCTTATGTCCCCATAACTCCTCATATTCCTGTAGGTCCTCTCACGTCCCCATAGGTCCTCTCATGTCCCCATAGGTCCTATCATGTCCCCATAGGCCCTCTCATGTCCCCATCAGTCCTCTCATGTCACCATAGGTCCTCTTATGTCCCCATAGCTCCTCATATCCCTGTAGGTCCTCTCATGTCCCCATAGGTCCTCTCATGTCCCCATCAGTCCTCTCATGTCATCATAGGTCCTCTTATGTCCCCATAGCTCCTCATATCCCTGTAGGTCCTCTCACGTCCCCATAGGTCCTCTCATGCCCCATAGGTCCTCTCATGCCCCATAGGTCCTCTCGTGTCCCCATAGGTTCTCTTATGTCCCCAATAGCTCCTCATATCCCTGTAGCTCCTCTCATGTCCCCAAAGGTCCTCTCATGTCCCCATAGCTCCTCATATCCCTGTAGGTCCTCTCATGTCCCCATAGTTCCCTCATGACCCTACAGTCCCCTCGCACCCTCACAGCTCCTCTCACCGGTTGTTGATCTTATTCTTCTCAACTTGTTCACTCTGGCGCTGGTTCCATTCCTCCAGGTCCTTCTTGGCCTTCTCCCGCCACTCCTGTTCCATCACTTTGGAGGCAGCATCTGCAACCCACAACAGGTGAATGAGCAGCAGCTTTCCAGGAGGGATGTGAGGCACAGCTGGCTGTGCTTCTGGCTGCTGCTTCTCCCCTCGGCCCCGGCAGGCAGCCCTGGGTCCATCCTCAGCTAATCCCACATTAAGGTGGGGCAGGCCCCCATATAGCCTAAGGCTTCCCCACCCAACCGTGTCCCAGAGAGCCAACCCAGTGGGGAGCCCGGGGCCAGGGGGACCAGCCCAGCTTGCACACTCAGCCCTGCCCTCACCCAGCTCTTGCAGCCGTTTCCGCTGCTCCTCTCTCCATTTGCGGATGCTCTCGGGTTCCTGCGTCAGCCTGTCGACCTGGGCAATTGCAGCGTAGCCATCAGCTGGACCGTTAGCCTCCTAGGACACAAACACACGGCAGTGTACCCAGCCTGTCCACCTGCCCCTCTGTGTCTGGCACCTGAGTACCAGGACACCCCCTCACATCTCAAACCACCTCATACCCACTGTCTCCTGGGACTGTACCCTGCCTTTGCACTTGCTGTGCCCTCTGCCAGTAATTCTGCTCCTTGTGTGACCGTGGGCAAGTTACTCAACCTCTCTGTGCCTCACTTTCCTCATCATAAAATGGGCTACAAAATAGCACCCACCCCACAGGGTTAATATGAGGATGAAATGAGTTAAAAAAGTGTAAAGAACTTCAAACGCTTCTTGGCACTCAGAGAGTTCCCTGTGTTTCTATCATTAAAGCCCTGCCCTATTAGTTTTATTTACCAAATAACACAGTCCCAAATGGCCTCACTTTATAATATGCTTACTTGTCCATTGTCTGTCTCCTCCATCAGAATGTCACCCTTGTGGCAACAGGGACCTTGCCTGTCCTGTTCACTGCTGTGTCCCCAGCATCTAGCACAATGCCTGGCATGTAGCAGGTACTCAATAACTATTTGCTGAGTGAACGAGCAGCCCTGAGATAGGCAGGGTGGCCATGGCTACGACTGTACAGTGATGAAAAACTCAGACTCTGCAGCTGGACCATCTGGGTTCAAATCCCACCTCTACTGCCTGCTATATATGTGTGTAGCCCAGGCAAGTTGCTCAACCTTGCCTGGCCTCAGTTTTCTCATCTGAAGTGAGAATAGTAATAAAAGTACCTCTAAGAGCTAGTTGTGAGGATTTGATGCAACAATATTTATAAGACATTTACAAGAGTGCCTGGCATGGAGTGATGGCTCAGTAAATGGTAGCTAGAATTATTATTATTATTAATTCCCATTTTATAGGGGAGGAAACTGAGGCCAGGAGAGATGGCACAACACAGTGGCAGAAGCAGGGCCAGAGTCCAGTCCTCTGGCTCCCAAGCCAGGGCTCTGCCCAATTCTCCACGCCACCTGCCAGGGTGGTGACTTGAAGCATTGCAGGCTGAGAGCTCAGCCCAACAAGGATGGGGCTCCCCCCTGGTCTCGCAAAGCTGGAGACTTTATGATCCAGCCCCATCTCCTGGCACGCCCACTCTGGTGCTCTGTCCGCCCTGTACATTCCTGTCTGCACACATCCCACATGCCCATGCTGCCGGCTTTTGTCTCCTTTGTGCTTTTCGCCTTCAGTTGTCTTCCCTCCTTTCTCTGGCTGATGAAATCTTATTCCACCCCACAAGTTTCCAGCTCAGAGGTCACCAGCTCTGGGATATTTCCCAGCCCCAAAACAGATTTCACACCCTGTCCTCTCTGTGCTTCTTGTCACACCCTCACCTTCTACTGCGGGTGTCTCCCCGCTGGACCGTGAGCTCCCGGTGGGCAGGACAGGACCTTGTTTATAGCCTCTGAACTCCTGTCCCATCTTTTTATTGCTCCCTGTGCTCCTCCTGCAAGCACTCATTAAAACTGTCACGAGTACCAGCGTATCTTCTCCCCACCCAACAACATCTGTCCAGTGGTGCCTGCTGTGGGCATACAGCTGGTGATCAGTAAGCAGTGGCCATGTGGATGAAGATCCCCCCCAGGGCCAGCATGTATGTGCCCGGTTCAGAAGAAGGGCTGGGTAAGCGTCTGCCCAAGGGGCTGTGGGCAGCAGGGCGAAGGAGCACGCAGATGGAACATCAGGGCTGCATCTCCAGCTGTCTTTGGGGAGAAGGAAGGGCAGGCCCAGGGCGGAGAGGTGCAGCCTGGCTCCTCGGATCAGGCCCACCCTTGGGTGGGGCAGTTGGGGCGCTGTCCTTATTCCTCTTTCCTGCCCAGCATTACACTTCAACTGAGAGAGTCTCTCAAGACATCTCGAGGGGCCTTTCCAGGGCCCTAATCTGGACAACACGAGTTGATCACGGATGTACCTTTCCAGTTCTGGGAACAACCCTGTCCTGAGGCTAGGCTACCAGGACCTCTGCCCAATCCTATAGACTGTCCCGTCTGCAGACAAATGCAGTTACTTTTACTTTCTACGTGTTTATCCAGGTGCTACATTTTATTTCTTATTGGCACTCAGGATATCTTAAAAGCCTGGTTTGTTTACATGTTTACTATCTGCCCTCCCCACCCCACCCTACCCCGCCCCCCCAGTAAGGGAATTCCATGAGGACAGAAACTGCCTGTCTCTTTATAGTATGTAGACCATGGAGGGCCTGGCTGTAGGAGGATTTCAAGAACATTACTTGAATGAATTAACCGATGTTCAGGCTAGAGGTCAGGGATGAACGAGACAGCCCATCGTCCGGGAGCTTGCAGAGGGAGTCCCTCACAAATGAGGATCATGGCTGGGGTACATGCATAACACGGGTCATGAAAAGAGTGGGGACAAGGGAGGGCATGACCTTTCTAGCCTGGGAGCAGAGTAGGCTGGGAAGAGATAGGGAAAGGGCATTTCAGACCAAGAGCTGGCAGCTTAAGGACCACATGAGGCCGGTGCCTTTGGAAAAATCTGAGTACAGAGATGCTACCAGGTGTGGAGCAGATGGGGTGGGAGAGGTGGGCTGGAGGGGGTCCTCTGGGTAAAAGTCATCCCATGGTGTCCTTCAGGACCCACCATCTCCATCAAGATTGCCCCAAAATTAAGACTCACAGGTTACAGCGTTTTAAAACTGGCAGAGAACTTGCAATTAAACAGTTCCCTTTGGTCTTTACAACCCTACATGGTGGGTTTCATTATCTTTGTTTTACAGGTAGGAAAAGTCTAGCTCCAAAGTCCCAGGGTCACCTGGCCAGGAACTGGCAGGGCCAGAATTCAAACTGAATTCCTGGGTGTCACACATAGCCACACGTGTGTCCATACATAGCCAATAGGGACCAAAGTTACTTCTGTGTCACGTGATTTTGGTCTCCCTGATAAGTCTACCATCCCAAGATTAGAGACTGCACCCCCTCCTCCCACTGCCCCACGCCCCATTCCCCGTCTGTCTCTCTCACACCCACACACGCACCCCCCTTGGCTCACTCAGTGGCTAGGTCAGGGATTTAGAAGCAGCTTCCAGGGCTACAGAGCACTTTTCTCAACAGACCTGCGGAGGCAGCAGTGCAGGGCTTCTAATCCCAATTTCACAAATGAGAAATCCAGCTCAGAGCAGTGACTAGTCCAAAGCTGTCCGGCTGGGAAAAGCCAGAAATGAAGCGCAGGTTGTCTGACTCCATCCAAACTCCTCTGCCGCAGCCCGCCACAGCGCCCTGCGTAGGAGCAGTCTGGGTGTAGGAGCAGCTTGAGAGACCCTAGGGCTTCTCTGGGGCGGGGTGGGGGGGGTGGCGGAGCCTCGAGCAGCTGCACTGCACATCCAGGGGCGCTGCTCAGTGTGGTCCAAGCATGCTGTGCTCAGGCCCTGGGCACAAAGCCTGGCCAAGCTGGGCCTGCGTCCTCCACCAGCACGGCCTAGTAACAGGCTCTGGCTGGGAGCTGTGCCTGCCCCCCCAACCCCCATCCCTTCCGCCTGCGGGCACAGCAGCCCTGCACCCGTGGTCTCTTCAGGTTCCCCCAGCACACCCTTCTCTGCAGCAGGTGCCAGGCTCCAGGCAAGCCCCCGAATGCGTGTCTTATCCTCTGTGCCTTTGCACATGCTGTCCCCCTAGCCAGGACCACCCACATGCCCCTGGGCAGCCTGGAACCCACTTCCAACATCCGTCCCTGTCACACTCTCTGACTTCAGTGCAGCGTCTGGCGCCTGAGCCTGGTTCAGGTCCCAGCTCTTCCCTGCTGCTGCTGTGCAACCAGAGCTATTAAACCTCCCTGTGCATCCTCCTCCTCATCTGTAAAATGGGGATAATGACAGAACCTACATCGTAGGGGTGTTGGGAGGATGAAATGAGTTAATCCACATAAAGCTTTTGGGTGGTGCCTGACGCATAGTAAGAACTCTTGAGACCAGCCCCACACCCAAGCCCTTGCCATCCTGCATGACTTTCAGGTCTCTGTCCTTTGAGCTCTTCGAGGACAAACATCCATGGGATTTGCCTCTACATCTGAGGCCCTGAGCACAGCGCATGGCACTCAGAATGCGAGTTGACTAAATGAAGGAATGAGGGGCTGCCTGCAAAGCGATGTGGAGGGCACGGGGACACAGCATCAGAGCGACTGGGCTTTAAGTCCCCTCCTGCGACTCACTGGATGTGTGACCTTTAAGAAGTCCCTTCCCTGGGCTCCTTAGGTTTCGTCACCTGTCAAATGGGAGTGACAACATCCCACTCGGGGTGCAAAATGGGGCCTGAATGCGATAACTGCCCTGTGACCCCTGTAGCCTGTAGCGGACATGCACATGCACATGCACGGGTGGCAGAGCTGCAGGGCTCACCATTGCCCGTGGCATGCCCCCAGCAGGCCGGCTTGCGCTGTACCATCACCACAACCAGGAAGAACACAGTGGTGCTGCCAGCAGACAAGGCCCTGAGAAGCTATTTGCTGGCTCCCCTTCTCCAGCTGCTCTGGACTTATTTTCCTGCCCTGCCCCTGCCAGTGAGCAGTGAGGTCGGGAGGGCCACAGTCGGGCTCCTCTTTAATCACTTGACTGTCGCAGTGAGGAAATCGGGTCAGCCGCCAGTGGGGCTGGCAGCCCAGGAGGGCTCACCAGGGGCTGCAGGAATGCTCTGAGCCCCTCCCAAGCTCGAAAGGGAAGAGGTCAGGCGGGAATGGCCTGTGGACCAAAAGGCCACAGGCTACAGTCAGGGCCGGGCTTGTCTCAGCCCAGCTCCCCAGCACTCCTCTCCCGAGGGACCCCTCTGCTGGACACTGGATACCACCACAAGGGCTTCCGGGGGGCCATGCTGGCCGAGCATGTACTGTGACTCCAGGGACAGCCAGGAGAATGAGGCATAACCAATCTGTGGGATTGACCAGCTAAAGCTAAGCTGAGCTGAGCTGTTGATTCCTCTAAGTAGCTCAACGGGGATGCAGGCTTATCCTTAGGCCTTGTTGGGGATCAGGTTCACAGTTGGGCCCCCTAGTGGCCCATAGCCTTCCAGAAAAGATTAAGAAAGGTAGCAGGAAAGTTCTGCCCAGGACCCTTGAACGCCTGGGGTGCACAAGCCAGACCCTGCTCTATGCTCCATCCTAAGAAAAGTCTGCAGGGGCTTCCCACCCGCCAGCCAGGGGCTGTGGCCTGCCTGCTCCAGCAACAAGGGGATGGTACAAAGGACACCAGATCAGGGGCAGGAGACCTAGATGAACCTGAACTTGGCCACTAAGCTTCTGAGTGACTCGCCTCATCTGTGACCTCTCCCCTGCCTGTTAGGATGCTAACGTGGCACAGATGTGAAATGAGTTACAGATAAACATAGCTGGGGTTATTCTTGGTAGCAGGGAGAATAAGAGTTCCCACCGAGATTGGGGAGGAGGCCCAGGGTTTCTCAGATCCATTAAATACAAAGCGAGGCCTGGGGCAGGGAGGGAGAAGGCCTCAAGATCCTAATGTATAGAAAGGGAAAATTATCCTGCTCATGGTGTTCTAGGTACTTCTCTGGTCCCAAGTGTATCTCCAGCTCCAGGGCCACTTTAGGACACTGACCTTTTGGGTCAGGCCACGTCCTTTTGAGTGTGCCCAGGACAGGGGCAGCCTGAGTTTCAATGCTCTGCCAAACTGTACCGGCGTCAATGCTGCTTATTTGGTGCTCTCAGGGCCAGGGAGACACGAAGCCCTTAAAGTCCTAGAGACTGACTTTTCCAGCTTGCTGGTAGTTGAGTAATTTTCCAGAAATGGGACTTGGCCAGTTGCCCTGTGTAAGGTACCAGCCCATCTCTCTTACATAAGAAAGTATTGTTTGTTCTCTCTGAGGATTTAGGAGGCCAGCTCCTCAACGAAGCAGAGCTCAGGAGATCCTGCAGCTGCAGCCCCAGCAGTCAAGGGTCTTTGAGCCAGTCCAGTGGGAATTAAAGTTTATCCAGTGAAGGTTTTGCCCCCACCCAGGTATCTGCAGGTTGGGGGTAAAGACTGTTGCATCTGTGGGGTCCTGGGGATGCTATTTGTGGTCCAAGTTCTTTAAGTACTTTCAAAATGAACTGTGTATGTATGAAGGGAGGGGGGTTAAGTGAGTGTGGAGAGAAGCAGTATTTAACTAGAAATATCTTTACTAGCTGTTTTTTTTTGGGGGGGTGAGTGTGTGCGCATGTGTGTTATAGGATCACTACAAAGAATTTTAAGACAATCCAGTGAAAGTGAAAGCCCTTTCCTTATCCCCCCTTCTCCCGCAAGCTCGGGGCTAACCACTGTTAACAGTTGGTACACATCCTTTCAGATCTTTCATGAAAACATATTTCTAAAATAAAAAACAGGACCATACTGTGCATATTATTCTGCAAGCTGCTTTTCCATTTACTATATTATAGGCATCTTTTCATGTCAATACAGAAAGCTCTGACTGCTCTTTTTAACAACAGAATGGTTTTCCAATTTACCTACCCAGGCCCTCAATACTAGGCACTTAGGTTGTTTCCAGTTTGTCTGCTATTATAAATAATCCTGCAAAGAATCTGGGTGTCCTTGTCCAGCTATTTCCTTTGGGAAAATTCTGAGAAGTGGAATCTCTGGGTCCAAGGCTCACCCAGTTAAAATGCTCAGACATGGTGCAGATGACCACTGGCTTCAGCCTCCCACCAATGGCACACACGTGTGCAGGGCCCTGTGTTTCCTTTAGTCCATGCCACGGCAGGCCACTTAATCTCTCCCTCTGGAAGCTGGACATCATCACGGGCAACCTGAGGCAACACCCCATTGATCCCTGTGGTCCTTATTCTTCATCCCCTTCTCCTACATGACCAAAAGAACCACATCAAAATCTTTCTTGATGTTCCCATCCCAATGAACAGAACTTGAATCCCTAATCCTACCCATGATGGGGGCCAAAGGTTACTGAGACCCAGGCTATCGGTCCCTTCCCCTGCTATGACAGAATCTTGCTTACCTGATACACATCTCCATTGACTGTGGTCCCCATGTCCTCAGAACCCGCTGGAAAGAGAACAGAAGACAGCATCACTCATTGCTCAGCTTATAGCAAGCAGGGTCTTACATTAGCCCCCAAAGCAACCTCTGTATATGTCCATGTGCGTACTAACTCCCCGCCCTACACGCACACATAATGGATATGCAAATAACCTGGGCTCAATCCTTGACTGTGCACAAAGCCTTCTCACAGCCATTATGACCTCTGATTTTCACCATAGCCTTGTGACAAAGCTGTCATCAACCCATTTTACAGATTCTCAAATTGAGGCTCAGAGAGGCTACGTGATTGCCCAAGGTCACCCAGCCAATAATAGGTCCTCACCTACCCAAAACTTATTTCCCCTCAGCCACGGCTGGGAATGGCCCAACTGTCTGTGGAGCTTGTGCCTGGTGAACAGGCAGAGGCTCTGGAGGCCCAGGGCAGGGTCTGCGAGGGCTCAGGAAGAGGGGCCTGCAGGTCTCTGCCTGTCCCTGTGGTGCCTTGAGCAATGGCTCCACCTCGGAGAGCAGGAATCACAGCCCCCACCAGGCAGCACCTGGCCTACTTTTCCTCCTCCTGCCCCTCCCAGAAGGAGTCGATTTTGCCCTCACCTAAACAGTGACTCCTCCCGGTCCCTTTCCCTGACATCTCGTTAGTCACAAATTCCTGTGGCTTCTGCTGCAACAAGAATCCTCAAAGTTGCCCTCCGCCCTCTGCCCCCAGCCTGGCCCACCTGTACAACTACTTTGGCCTGTCTGTCCCGCTAGTGGAAAGCACCTGGACGGGCACGCCTGTGTCCATTATCCTCACCGCTGTCTTCCCCAGAGCCGTGCACGGTACCTGTGACTTAGGACACGCTCAGAAACTAATTGTTGAATAAGCAAATGAATCAGTGCATTAAAGAAAGAAGGAATAAATGGTTTTTGTCCACTCACTGGCCTCCCTGCCTCCATCTTCACCCTCTCCCAAACCTCTTTCAAACCAGCTGCCAAGGTTGACGTTTTGAAAAGCATACACTTACCTATGTCACTCCTCTAATTAAAAATATAATGAACACAAACCAAAAGGAAATCCACTTCCCGTGGACCATGGTGGCCGATAGGGCCTGCTCCTTCCTTGGGGCCTCGGCAGGTGCTGTCCCCTCTCCCTAGAAAGCTCTCCTGCCCATTTCTATGTGGGCTGCTGCCTCACGCCCTTCAGCTGCTGCTCAAACACTGCCTTATTAGAGGCCTTCCCTGACCACTCCTGACATTCATGCCCCAGCACCCCTACCTCCTCCCCTGGGCAGTTATTTTCTCTGTAGCACCTACCACAGCCTGATATGTTTATTTTTGTATGTGCTTATTATCTGTCTTCCCCACTTGAATGCCCTCTGGGAGGGCAGAGACTTTGTTTTGTCCACTGCTGGGATCCAGCACCTAGAACAGTGCCTGACACATAATAGGAGCCCAATAAATATTTGTTGAATGAGTACATTGAACTTTGGCCCATAGCTCGTGAGGATCTTTACAATCTGGCCCTGCCCATTTTTCCTGCCTCACTTCCCACCAGTCCCTCCCACAAACCCTATTCTGGTTTCCTCCTTCCCCAAACACACTATGCCTCATCCCACACCTTTCTTCCTGCTTCCCTCACTAAAGAATGTGCTTTGGGATCCAGTTGTTTTCCAAGGCCCAGCTCACAAGTCATCCCCTCTGGGAAGCCGTCTACTACTTCCCCTACTTCCCTGGGTGCTGATGGAAGGTCTCAACTCTGAGGTATCCCAGAATATCGTACAGAATCCCCCACGCTCTTATGCGATTACTGTGACCTCCCACGGGTCATTCACTCCCTCATAAGGCTCTGTACCCCATTCAGCTCCTAAGGGTGAGCAGTGTTGGCTAAATGGAAGCTGACTTGCTCTTTGGGGGGCCCACTGTTATCTACAAGGCCTGAGGACTCTCAGAAACTGCAATGCCTCTTAGCCAAGACCCACAGGAGGCTGCACAAGATCACCGCAGATGGACAAGTACACTTTACCAGCCAGGTAGAGCTGTGAGTAATGGTGACAGTGTTTTCAGCTTGGGGACTGAAGAGAAGGATACTTAATCCCATGGAAATAATGCCCAGCTGATATAGATTATAATCAACTTTGTTTGCACAGCCAAACATTGACTGATTTTGACCAACCGTTGTCAGCCACCCTCCCTACGCATTCCGATGGGGTTTCTCCTGCATGGGTGGCCTGGCCCCTAAATTGGTGGCAGCATCTTCTGCAAAGTGGCTTCTTCTCCTGGGGCATCTCCTCTACCAGGGCCTTACGTTACCAGGGTCCATTCACGATGACGCTGGTCTGTGCACCTGGCATTTCTGGAGGGGAAGTTGCGGCCCCGCCTCCCCGACCAGTCCCAGCCTCAGGCCCCTTGTCCACAGGTGCCCACCCTGGCCTTCAGAAAGTCTCTGTGCCCCAGTCTCTCAGTCCCATGAGTGTCCCCCTGGAATGAGGCTTAACCTCTTTGGGAATCCACACATACCCACACACAGAATTAAAAGTCTCTGTCCCCACAATGAGTAGCCCACGGCACGTTGATAATCACGTGTCCACAGTCCGAAGCCGGCAGAACCAGAGTACGGCAGACACGAGTGCCAAGGATAACCCTGTGGGTGTTGCTTCTCTCAGATCCCTGACCCCTTTTGGAACGGGGGCAGACAAGGAAGGGTCCAGAACATTCCTGGGAGGTTACTGAGGCCCATCAGGGGAAATGGGCTTGTCAGGAAATGACTGGGCAAGTCGGGGTCAGAGCCAGGTGGAGTGCTTAGAAATCTGGGTGTGAAAATGTACACACCTCCTGGGCCCTACCCAAGGCTGATGAATGGAAACAAAGTATCCATTGCTCAGGCTGGCCGTCGTTCCAGCCCCAGAGGAGAGACTCAAAGTGGCTCAGGCTCAGGCCTACACTAAACAGTTTCCTGGGGAGCCCAACGTCAGTGCACTCAGCACAGGGGCATCATTTAAGAGACGAGACTCAATGGTGGTGAGTGGTGCTGGCTGCGGGAGCTTCCGCCCAGCTCCCAGCAGCCCAAGGCACATTTTCCGCACCTCATTTGGGCTTCTGGCACTCATCACTGGTCTCGGGGGATTACTTGCTCATCACCGTCTAGGCCTAGGAGGATCAGATCAATTCCATCCTATCTGGCCACCTATTGAGCCGCCATCCCATAACCCCTCCCGGATCCCCGTGCCCCACTCAGCAGAGCAGCTGAGCATTTGCTGCTTTACTGGTTGTGAGTCTGGGAGACCCTCAGAGGGCCATGTCCCCGCTTCTCTCCCTGCCACCTCAGGTCTGGGGCCAATCTGTGCACCACCCCTGCCGGAGAGGGAACCTCCCATCCAGGCTGTAAACCCCTGGAGCCCCATTGTCCTGGGAGAGGTCACAGCCTGCTCAACCCCCAGCCACCTCTGCGGCCCTCTGCCTGACTTCTACCTTCTTCTCTCTTAGGTGGTTCTGACACTGGCTCTCCCAGGCCAACCCGACTGGGGAAGTTGGTGGTCTCAAGGGGAAGATGTGGACAAATGAGTACTGGTACATGAACGTGGGCTCACATTTCCTAGGAATTCCCTGGGATGTGTGAGGGTCCCGCTGAAGTGCTAGGAGCTGCTGCTTCTTCAGAAGTCCTCCACTGCTGCCTTGGTTGAGTAGCAAAAGACCCCTCTCCCTACCTCTACATCTCATCACCTCCCAGGGTGACTGCCACAGCATTTGAAAGAGCATGGAGCCCACAGTTGAGAAGCCTGGGATCAAGTCCCAGATCTGTCACTCACGGCTGTGTGACTTTGGGCAAGATATTCAGGCTCTCTGGGCCTCCAGTTTCTCATATGTTACAAAAGGCTTGTTATGTTTCTCATACCAAGAGGATACAGAGATGCTTCAAGCTCCTCAAGCCACAGGAACTGTCTTATTCATATCTGTATCCCCACTGGGCCTGGCACACAGTAGATGCTCAGTAGATGCTGAATGAATACAAACATGACTAAAAGGATCCTTACTTGTAAACATTTTAAAAAAATATGTAAGGTACCACTTATTCCAACAGGCCCATAAACTCCTACCAAAACGACAACATTAACAAGAAGCAAGCGCTGTTTTGGAGGTACCCATGAAAGTGATATCTACTTTTTTACTAGATACGTTAAGAAATTGCCCTTTCAGGCAGAGCCAGAGCAGGAACACTGTTGATAAACACAGTACTGCAAGGACCAGGCCCCAAATCCTGAGTCCTGGACCACCTTTGGAAAACCATTGAGCTACCAACCCCAGGAAGACAGGACCACATCTGACTGAAGCCCTCTGTGCTCCTGCCCCCACCCTGGTGTCTAACTCAGAGCCTGGCATATGGAAGACAGTGTGGTCAGGTGGAAAGGGTTAGAGTTAGAGAGAAATGGTTTAGAATCCTCACTCTGTCACTTACTAGTTGTTTCAGTAGTGTACCTTTTGAGCCTCGGTTTTGCCATCTCTGAAATGGGTTTAATAATGCATATGAAATGATTAAATGTAAGAAAAGTGCCTAGACCAGTGACTGCAGGATGGCAAGTGTTCCCCAGGGAAGGTCTGTGAGTTCTTGGAGCACCCAGCGTCCCCTGCTTTCCCAGCTGTTAGGAGGGAGCTACTTCTGAGGGGCAGGGAGATCTGGGGTTCTGCCCACACCTGCAGGGCTCGGCCTGGGGCAGCCAACCTACTGGGAAGCTCAAGCCTGGGCTGTGTTGGATTCCGGAGCCAGGCAATAGTGGAGTTGGCTTGGGGATGAAATGTCATGACGAATTTCTGTCCTGGGAGCCACCAGATCCACAGCCCCAGGCAAGGCCTCAGGTGGGGATCTCCAAAAGATCCCCCCGTCCCCGCCGCATCTCCTCCAGGTTCCGGTCAGGTACACACTAGCCCCAGGCCTGCTCCTGGCTGGCCATAGCAGGCCCTCTTCACTCCACCCGGTACCCCGGGTGCGAGCCCCAGGTCCCCCAACCCCCAGGCCACCAGGCTGACTCACCCCCACTCACGGGTCCCGGCTGCGTGAGGGCCGCCTGGCTGCCAGCAGGTGCCCCGAAGCCCTCGTCATTCTCTATGCCCGCGATTTCACTCTCCTGCTGGGCCAGGAAAGCAGCCGCCGGGTCCTCCTCGGGCGCCTCGGGGGCCCCGCTCTCCGTCGACGAGAAGAAGCCAAAGTCATCAGCCATTTTCCCCACGTCTCTCTGAAGCGTCCGCCTGCCGCTCGGCTCTGCCCGGCGCGTGCCCCGCCCTGCGCCCGGCAGCCGCGACACTGTCACCCGAGCCGCCCGGGGGAGCCGGCCTCGGCGGGGACAGGCTCGGCGCGGCGGCCCCGCACTTCCTTTCCGCCACCGGGCCCGGCTCGCCTGTCACTGCGGCTGCAGGCGGGAGGAGCCGGGACGGGAATGCGGTGATGTCACCGGCCGAGGGAGGAGGCCCGCAGGACGGCCGGAGGTCGCCTCACAGCGGCCACAGGAGGGCGGCAGCAGGACGGCGGCGCAGCCCGAGGGGCCCAGAGGCCCGGGCCGCGCTCCCCGCTCCGGGCCAGCAGCACGCATTTCCAGGACACCAGGACAGGGCGCAGCTCCCGCAGGGTCTAGAGGCGAAGCGGACTGCAGAAAGTGACCATAGCGTGTACAGGGCCACCGCAGGTTGGCAGCCCGGGCTTCGGGAGCACCGAGGGGGTGGTCGCTGCGCAACCTGGCTCCTGATTCATTCTGCAAAAGTTTCTTCTCCTAAGCTAGGCGGGTATTATGAAGCCCATTATCATGAGCCTTGGAGAAATGACAGTAAGTCCCACGGCTTTACTGCATCTTTCCTGCAAGTCCAGGGCCTTTCCCACAAGGCCGTGTTGCTTCCGTGCATTTCTTCAGCACTTCCTTTCATTCGGTGAGGCTTCAGCTCAGACCGCCAGAGTTTGTGTGTCCTGACTGGGTCCCTACTTGGAGGCTGGGTCCCTTAAATGTCCCTTAAGTATGAACCAGCTTGGGAAAGGCAGACCTAATTTATCCAGGCAGCCTGCCGTTCAGTCACCCTGAATAAAGTCTCCAAAATACAGTAAAACCGAGCCTTGGCGACGGGGAGATTACAGCCTAAGAGGCCTACAGATAGGAAATGGCCAGACAGCACAGCATAAAAGGCGCTCTGACATTTAAACACAGGGTATTGGGGGGCCCGGAGAACCACCATTGGATCTGGGCTTTGGGATTTTCTCTTTCTGATTTGAAACCTGAAAGTCAACTATAACCTGGAAAAGAGAAAGGAAAGATGTGCTGCAAACTGGGGGTTCCCTTGGGGGTGGGGAGCAGAAGGCTAGACCACCGAAGGGCAATTTCAGTTTTGCACAGTAATACTTTGATGTAGTTTTCACTGTTATGATAAGAATATAATTATTTATCAGTGTAGGAAAGAAAGAAAGAAGCTTCAGGCCCTGCACAACCTGGTCCAAGCACAGCACTCCACCATCATCCATCTCATTCCTCTCCCTCATTCCCCCAGCTGCAGGCTCAGGTGCTGAAAAGACCTTGAAAGTTTCCTAGTTTAACAAACCAGCCATAAATGTGGACTCCAGGTTTCGTAGAGACAGAAGGACTAGTGAACATGCTCTGTGCCTGCCATGCTCTCCCCTGGATGTTCTTACTTGGTTCCCGGAGACTTCGGTGCCACTACAGGCACTCTTCCCAGCTATTTCTTCCTTCCTTCCTGCTCCTTCCTAATTTAACCATCAGCAGAATTTAGCTCCATGCTTAATTTATACAAATTACTGGTCCAGATCATTCTGCAACCATGCTTGCTCTTGTACATGACTCTTATTCTTAATCATGAATATTAAAAATGATCGTTAAAAAGTTATCTTTTGAACCATGCAGCACTTCTTTGTGCTGGAGATTCCCACTTTCTTGACACCTCCCTAAATATCTTTGGATATCTCTAAACACAGTTCTTGTCTTCTAATTCTCCATTTAATTGTGAAGCTCAGTAATGGTCAAAAGACATGAATAAAATAAAGTTGAGTAAAGATATGGGACAGTCGCACAGAATCTAAATTTCAGCTCATGAAGTCTGAAGTGGAGAAATTTTAAAAACATTTTTAATGGAAAATTTCAAGCATGCAGAAGAGTAGAAAGATTGGTATAATACAACTCCACATAATAACCCCTGAACCTCAGTGTTACTAACATAGAGTCAGTCTTGTTTCATCTGCAACCTTTATTCCTCCCCATATATTATATAATTTCATCTGTAAATCATCCACTATGTTAACTTCTATTTTTTTAATTTAGAGATTTTTTTAAATTGTGGTAAAAAATACATCAAAAGTATGGCCTTTACCATTTTTAAGTGCACAGTTCAGTAGTGTTAAGTACAATTACATTGTTGTTCAACAGATATCCAGAACTTTCTCATATTAAAAAACAAATTCTAGGACTTTCCTGGTGGCGCAGTGGTTAAGAATCTGCCTGCCAATGCAGGGGACACAGGTTTGAGCCCTGGTCCGGAAGGATCCCACACGCCGCAGAGCAACTAAGCCCGTGCGCCACAACTACTGAGCCTGAGTTCTAGAGCCCGCGAGCCACAACTACTGAGCCCATGTGCCACAACTACTGAAGCCTGCACGCCTAGAGCCCGTGCTGTGTAACAAGAGAAGCCACGACAATGAGAAGCCTGCGCACCACAACGAAGAGTAGCCCCCGCTCACCGCAACTAGAGGAAGCCCGTGCACAGCAACGAAGACCCAACACAGGGAAAAATAAATTTATAAAACAAACAAACAAAAAAATTCTATACCTGTTAAACAATTCGTCACTTTCCCTTCCTCAATGCCCATGGCAACCATCAGTCTACTTCCTGCTAATATAAATTTGACGGCTTTAGATACCTCACGAAGGTGAAATCATACAGTATTGTATCCTTATTTCACTTAGCATGTTCTCAAGGTTCACCATGTTCTGACAGATGTATCATGTGACAGAATTTCCTCCCTTTTTAAGGCTGAATAATATTCCATTGTATGATGTATATACCGCATTTTCTTCATCCATCCGTCCATGGACACTTGGGTTGGTTCCACCTTAGTTACTATGAATGATGCTGCTGTTAACACAGCTGTGCAAATATCTCTTTGAGATCCTGCTTTCTGTACTTTTAGATATATACCCAGGAATGGCATTGCTGGATCATAGGGTAATTGTATTTTCAATATTTTGAAGAATCACCACACTGGTTTCCAGAGCCACTACACCATTTTACATTCCCACTAATAAGCTCCTTTTTTTTTTTTTGATTTTACTTTCAAGGTTCCCCCCCACCCTTTTCAACTTTTAATTTCAGACTTACAGAAAACTGTAAATAATTCCCATAGGCCTCTCACCAGATTCCTTAAATGATAACACTTTATCACATTGTCTTTATTCTTTTTATTTCTGTCTCTCTTTCTCCTGTACTGTTGGAGAGTAAGTTATAGACACCATGACCCTACATCCCAAAATATTTCACTTTGTGTTTTCCTAACAATAAGGACATTCATTTATATAACTATTATACAATTATCAAAATCAAGGTATTAATATTGATATAATACCATTATCAAATTGACATAACTTACTCAGATTTCACCAAATGTCCCAACAATAGAAGAAAAGAAAATCCCAAGTAATGTATTTATGTACTGCATTCAGTTACCTTCTCTGTTTGATCTCCTTCAATCTAGAACCATTCCTCTCTTTATTTCTCTTTCATGACATTGATGTCTTGAAGATTACTGGTCAGTTATTTCATCCTTCAATTTGAGGTGTCTTTGTTTCCTCCTGATTAGATTCAGGTTAAACATTTTTGGCAGGAATAATACAAATGTGATGCTGAGTTCCTCTCAGTGCATCATGTCAGGAAGCATATAATGTCAATTTCTCCAGTTACTGGTGATGTTTATTCATGTATTTTTTATTTTTTAGCCGCTGGCATGCGGGATCTCAGTTCCCCAACCAGGGGTCAAACCCGCATCCCCTGCATTGGAAGCTCGGAGTCTTAACAACTGGACCGCCAGGGATGTCCACTGGTGATGTTAACATTGATCACTTGGTTAAGGTGGTGTCTGTTAGGTTTCTCCACTGTAAAATTACTACTTTTCCCTTTATAATTAATAAATATCTTGTGGAGGGTACATTAATACTTGTAAATTTTATATTGCTCTGTAAAATTACACCGATTCATTCATTATAGCATCTATTGATTTTTGCATGATTCAGGTATTATAATGATAGTTGCCAAATGGTAATTTTCTAGTTCCATCATTCCTTATACATTTATTAGTTGGCTTTCTACTATAGGGAAAGTGTTTGTTTGTTTGCTATGTCTGCAAGATTCATAGACTCATTTGATCCAAGTGGGTTGTAGTATTTTGCTATCATTATTTATTTTAGTGCTTCAAATTGTCCAAGATTGGGTCACTGGGAGCCCCTTCAAGCTGGCTCCTGTGTTTCTGATATGTCTACATCATTCTTTGAGAGCATTCTCACTTTCTGGCACAGCAAAATGTTCCAGGCTTAAGAATAAACCATTTCTCTATCATCAAAAAGTCTACAAAGAATAAAATGCTAGGGAGGGTGTGGAGAAAAGGGAACCCTCCTACACTGTGGTGGGAATGTAAATTGGTGCCACCACTATGGAAAACAGTATGGAGGTTCCTCAAAAAGGCTAAAATAAGAGTTACCATATGATCCAGCAATCCTACTCCTGGGCATATATCTGGAAAAGACAAAAACTCTTAATTCAAAAAGATACATGCACCCCAATGTTCATAGCAGCACCATTTACAATAGCCAAGACATGGAGACAACCCAAGTGCCCGTCAACAGATGATTGGTTTAAGAAGATGTGCCATATATATATATATATATATATATATATATATATGGCACAGCAACAGCAACATGGGTGGTCCTAGAGAACAGGCCTAGAGAAAGTCAGACAGAGAAAGACAATTATTATGTAATATCACATATATGTGGAACCTAACAAACAATACAAATGAATCTACATACAAAACAGAAATAGACACACAGACATAGAAAACAAACTTATGGTTATCAAAGGGGAAAAGGGGGGAGGGGAGAGATAAATGGGGGGAGGAATAAATTAGGAGTACGGAATTAACAGATACAAACAATTATACTATACATAAAATAGATAAGCAACAAGGATTTACTGTATAACACAGGGAACAATATTCAGTATCTTCTAATCACCTCTAATGGAAAATAATCTGAAAAAATATATATATATAACTGAATCACTTTGCTGTACCCCTGAAACTAACACAATATTATAAATCAACTATACTTCAATTTAAAAAGAGAAAGAAATGGTGATGATTAATGTCATACATGT